GTGATATTTTTTTCACTTATAAGTGAATGGTCTTAGGTTCGATCATCGCCAAAGACGAATTTAACCATATTGTTGTTATCCCATTGTAAGGATAAGCTTATTTCCTCCCCCTTTGTATTGATAATATCGTTTATTGAAGAAAAAAAAAACAAGAGATCATGTAGACTAACAGAGGAAGTATATTGCAGTGGTAAGGAGCTCTATTAGTTTCAAGAATAATTTTATGGGAGGAAATTTGTACCAAATTTGGGACGGAAATTGTGTTGGTATATTCTTATCCTCTTTTTTTTTTTTTTTTTTGTACAAGACGATATATATTTTAAATAAATTTTAATTTGTGAATCATGTGCACTACTGATATGATGAAATGTCGTAATCCACGTCACGTCAATAACTTTAGATTACTATTATTTCGAGCATGTTAGATGACTTATTCATGAAATATTGTCCGTGGCCCCCTACCCCTTTTAGCTAGCTTCAAGGCTTTAGAAAAAGTTAAATGAATATATCTTCCTTTCAAGAATCTAATTAAGATATCTTCAATTATTTCATGATTAATAGCTTTTGCAAAAAATCAGTTCCGAATCACAACAAAACAAAAACATGACATATTAGCTTTTAATGATGGATTATAGCCATGTTAGACTAATCGTCCGACTAATCATTTTCATTTGTTGTTTTTGTGGAGACGCAACATAAAGTTGTGCCGACAGACGCACACATACCGTATATCGCTCGACCTCTCCATTGCAACCAATCGTGAAGACACCCTCGTGCCTTGTCTAAATCAAGTTTACTCGCCTGCCATGGCATCTAGTGAAAGTTAAAACTTATCATGGGGAATTGCGTACTTCGTCCTCATGGTGATTTGAAATTCCCTCAACTTCGTGCACTTTGTGTGAGAGTAATAGAGATTGATGATGGTTAAGAAATGAAAACTAATGAATAAGGCTTAAAAATTTTGAGTTTTAACGATAAGAACAAAATAAAGGGTAAAGTGAATAATACCAGGATTGACTTTTTAGTGTAAAAATGTGATTTTTCGTCAAAGTTCCCGGTTAGAAAGTGTGGAATATGTACAATTATCTCACATCCGAATGAATGTTAAGGGTATATCAAGTGGTAGTTCTCTCTAAAGTACACCGATACTTTTCAAGATAAAACTTTTCAGTTGAGTAGGTTTATGGGCATTAATTACACTTTGTATGAACTTATGTGGGGAAATTGGAATGAGGATCCTTTCTGGATCCTCTTTACGAGGATCCAGGGAATTCTTTAATCATGTCCGTTCATCGTAAATCGCGCAGTCAGTTTTCATTAGGTACTATTTGTATTCAATTTTAAATAAAAATTTTAATATGATTTATGACCGCACAATATACGATGAATAAACACGATTAAAAGATCTCATAGATCCTCACAAAGAGGATCTTCATTCGTGAAATTGAGGACAATATAGGTGCAATTGAAGAAGAGTAAAGAGAATGCGGACCCCAAAAAGTGGGATTAGAGCCAATAGTGTGGCTTGAGATATCATCATAGTTGGAGGTGTTGCACATATAGAAAGATGACGGCTCAATTGGCCGGTAGATAGAGGTGGTGAAACTGAAGACAATATATGTGCAATAGGTGCAATTTAGGAAGAGTATGAAAGATGTGGGTCTCAACAAGTGGTATTAAGCCATCTCCAATGCTTTGGCTAAATGTAGCCCCCATGTCATCTCCCGTAAACCTTACATCTAATGCATTAATCGTTACATAATAATACTTAAAATAAGAAACAAATGAGCGCACACTTTGTTCGTCACCAATAGCCTCGGCAGGAGCAGGATCCTTTCTTGAAATGATGAAATCGACTTGAGTCTCTCAATATGATTTCATGCTCCACAATCATGGAGACGTAGGTAATGGCATTGTGGCAATCACCGCAGACGCGTAAGTTCTTGGTGATCCGGATAGGTTGGCCTGCCGGCGTAGTTAGGATTGCGTAGGCCAGAGCCAACTTCTCGCTATGCTCGAAAAGAAGGTCTCCTTTCTCCTCATCATCGACGTCGTGAAGCGCAAAGCTTGTCTCGGCAACGTATCCCATGTCTTTGATGCGTTCGATCAATTCTGCAAGTTTCTCATATACTTCTTGAGACATTGGATGAGTCCTATCGCCCACAAAGAATGTTGCGTTGCCTTTCTTACCTTGCACCCAACTGCAACCGGGCCTCTTCTTGATGCCAGTATTTCTCATTAACGACCGGATTTTGGCCACGTCTTTCCAACGTCTGGCATTGGCGTATATGTTCGAAAGCAATGTATATGATCCATCATTCTCTGACTCAATCTCTGATAACCGCTGTGCAGCATATTCACCTAGTTCAACATTTCCATGCGTCCTGCACGCACTGAGCAAGGCCACCCATACAATTGGGGTTGGTTGCATAGGCATGTCTTTGATCATCTTCAACGCGTCGTCCAAGTGACCAGCACGACCCAAGAGGTCAACCATACAAGCATAGTGTTCTGCCCCAGGAACAATCCCAAAATCCTGGCTCATGCTGTTGAAGTATCTTGTTCCTTCATCGACCATTCCAGAATGGCTGCAAGCATACAGGACAACAACAAAAGTTACACCATCAGGCACCAGCCCCACACCCATCATCCCACCAAAAACTTGTAGGGCTTCTTCACCACGACCGTGCATTCCATAGCCCGTCATGAGTGAAGTCCAAGAAACAGCATTTCTTTGTTGCATGTAATCAAACACAACTCTAGCAGCATCAATGTCTCCGGATTTTGAATACATATCAACGAGGCAATTGGCCACAAACAGCTTCCCAGAATCACACTGATTGCGTACTATAAAAGCATGAATTTGTTTACCCGACCTCAGTGCCCCCAGACGAGCACAGGCCATCAGGGCACAAGATATAGTAAAAGAATTTGGCTTTAGAGAGCAATCCTTTCTCAGCATCTGATACAATAGTTCTAATGCTTCATTAGCTTCCCCATGCTGTGCATACCCACCGATCATCACAGTCCAAGTCGCCACATTCCTTGTCTTTGGTTCAATATTATCAAACATCATTCGAGCAACTTTGGGACTCTTGCATTTGGTATACATGTCAATCAGACCATTAATTACCATCATATCATTTCCAGGGTCATTTCCTTCTAAATCCAGGATCCATTTTATTGCATAACAATGGGTTTCTTTTCCTTGAATCAATGCTCCTGCAGAGGCACACCCTGAAAGAAGAGACACAAGAGTAACAATGTTTGGCTTGGAGCTACAAGCCTGCATTTGCCGAAAAACATCCAGCGCTTCGTAACCATGTCCCCTCTGAGCATACCCTGCAATCACAGCACTCCAAGTGACAACGTTCAACTCAATATTTTCCTCCCCCATCTTCTCAAACAAACCAATGGCATCCTCATATTTACCAATCTGAGAATACCCGGTAACCATTGCATTCCACGAAACGACATCCTTTACCTTCATCCTATCAAATACCTTGCGTGCCTCTTCCATCATCTCACACTTAGCATACATATCAACCACGGCATTACCCACAAAACATCTTCAAATAAACCATTTCTAATAGCATAACCATGAATCTGCTTACCCCACATCGGCTTACCATCCGAAGCACAAGCAGGAAGAACATTAACTATACTAACAGCATCTGGGCGCACACTAAAATCACCCATCATCCGATCAAACATTTTAAGCACATTACTCGAATCCCCACTTTGAACATAAGCCGCCACAATCGAATTCCACGACACAGCGTCCCCAATCCCCCTTTCAGACAATTCATCGAACACCTTACGGGCATCGTCCAATGCACCGCAGCGGCCATACATAGCAACCAACGCATTGCAAACAAACACATTTGACTCAAACCCATTTGCGAACACAGAGGCATGAACCGACGATCCTCGCCAGAAGGACCGAAGCTCGCCGCAAGCCTTGAGAACAAAGGGGTAAGTATAATGGTCAGGCCGCCACCCAAGCATTTGCATCCGATGGTAGAGATTAAGCACGTCATGAAGTAATCCAGAACCCACGGCGGTCCGTATAAGCACATTCCACCAGAAAACAGTCCACGGGCACGGCACAAGGCGTTGGAGCAACCCCAGGGCTTGTGAGGGAGCATTGCAGGCGACGTAGGCGGCAATGAGGTCGGTGGCGGCGTGTGCGAGGCCGCCTTGGACCAGGATACGCTGGTGTAGGAGCTTGGCTTCCTGTAGAGACTTGCATTGCCTTAAAAGTGCCGCCGCAGTGGAGAAGAAGGCTCTGTTGGTGAAGGGTTTAGTGAAGGGTTTTAGAGGCAGTGAGGCGCAGAGCATGCTAGAGGGATTTCACTGCATTTTCGGGGTTTTACCCTTTTCTAATCGGAGTTCGTTTTGTTTGGGTGCGGGTTGCCGGGTTTGGACTTTAATTGGACCTAACAACAGAAAATAAACAAGTTTGGGATGACCCTAATCGTGTTTGTGTCGTAATCATGTCAAGCCGTTTAATACGGTCAATATATAGTTTGCGTTTTTTATTAACCCGTATAATATGAAAATAACATGTCATGTTTTAGTATGTTTATGTAATCGTCTAATGCATTATTTTGTATATGAGCATTTTAATTGGACGTTAAATAACAAGTTTAACCCCTTTATTTGATGTGCACATTATAATTTATGAGTAGTTTTGTACATATGAACACTAAACCGGTTAAGAGTCTAAGACGAAGCGAAGTTGCAATTCAATTACGAGATTTCAATGTGTCGAGTTTTCTTCTACAAAAGAACTTTTCTTGTGACCTGGATATATTATAACTGTATATCAAGATAACCACTCATGCACTATCATATCAAAAAGTTACGGTGCTCATAGCATAATTTGCTTGCGGTATTACCACAATGCTATTCGAGTGTAAGTAGATGTCTCTCGTTATAGAGAGATTTTTCAAAATGACTTGTAACATGAAGTTACTGTTTGTAATCTTATACTTTTATTTGAAAGTCATGTCTCTCGTTAAAGATTGAATTAATTCCAACAGACGAGAATTCCAGCTTGTTGAGAAAGTCCAAAGGCAAACATACTAATATGACTGATTCTACAACAATACAAACCACAAATGTTCATAGCCCTACCCCTTTTTAGAATCCAAACACTACAAATTACAATTCACTTCACTTGTTGAGCATCATCCTCACAAACTCCTCATAGTTCACCTGGCCATCGCCATCGTCGTCCGCTTCACGAATCATTTCACTCACTTCTTCATCCGTCAGTTTCTCACCGAGATTCGCCATTACATGTCGAAGCTGCACAATTAGGCAGATTGTTCCTATAAGTTTTCCACTACGCACATTCTTCCATATACCATCAAAGAAACAACAAATTATGATCTTTACCTCAGCAGCAGAAATGAAGCCATTCTGGTCCTTGTCAAAGACCTTGAAAGCTTCTTTGAGTTCCTCCTCGGAATCAGTATCCTGCAGAAGTTTTAATTCAACAAACTTCGCGTGTAAGTTCTATGACTATTGACATCGATTCCTACTCACGGTCAAGACTCATGAAGCACTTGCACAGTTGCATTTGCTCTTTAGTTATAATTAGAAGCAAGATTAGCAATCATTGTACAGACTTTCTATGTGGATCAAATTAGAACAGAACAATTACGCTTCGAACAACGACGGATCAGTTGGAAGAACATTGAATGAAAGAATTACGAGAGTCCTCATTCTCCCTAAGCTCCATATGAAATTTGAACAACCCGTATTCAGTTACTGCAGCGATTTTATGTAAAAATCTTAGGGTGAAAGTTATAAACAGGTACGAGTGTAGCACAAAAACGCCCATATTTCATCTGATTCGGCAAAGTACAGCAGATCACTGTCCTGAGATTCAAAATATGAGACACCAGAATGCAATGTGAGGAGATTATATACCTTCATCTTCCTCGCCATCAAATTCAGAAACTCGGAGAAATCGATTGTGCCATTCTGATCAGCATCAACTTCACTGATCATGTCCTGCAATTCAGCCTCAGTGGGATTCTGTCCCAAAGATCTCATCACAGTTCCCAACTCTTTGGTGGTGATGCAACCTATGTCCAAACAAAAACATGAATCAAAACTACTTCTACCTGAAAAATGGGAAGTAGCATAAATGTACTAAGCAGAACCCATAAATGTCCTTTTCTTTTTAATTTTACAAGACGATATTCTAAATCAATACACTATACAGGAAGAAAGATTCGAACTTGGTGCAAGAGAACGAATATACTGCCTAAACTATACGGGAAGAAAGATTCGAACTTGGGTGCAAGAGAACGGATTTACTACATCTACAGACCCAAAACATGCTAATTCACAGATATCGACCTTTCAAGGTTCGACATGAATCATTCAAAAACTTAATCACAAGGTGTGGTTCAAAACTTGATCCATGAACTTTCTAACTACTTCTATACAAAACAAAATCAAACCCAATAATATATACATGATTTATATACATATACATATACATATATATACACATACGGGAGGGTGTAGAAATATATACCATCGCCATCTTTGTCAAAGAGGCAAAAAGCTTCCTTGAACTCGGCGATCTGCTCCTCCGTTAGCTGCTCTGCCATCTTTGGTCTCTGCTCTCAAGATTTTGGCAAAATGTTGACTAAATTTTCGATCAAAATGTCCCTACAAATATGCGAGTAGGATCTATTGAGATTCAAGTCTTTGGAAAAATCATTTGTTAATTACGTGTTAGAATTTTAGGGTCTGATCCGACGGTGGAGATCGCGCATCTGTTAATTTTTGTACGGCCATGTGATTGCGAACCCGTCGCCACTCGCTTGCACAACGTACCAGCGCGGATATGTAGGGGCCCACCGGTTCAGCGTGTCCGCGTCTGGCCTGCTTTTGAAAGTTAATGCGCTTTCTCAAAAAGTACTTTACATCTCGTCTCTGTAAAAGCAGTTGTAAACGTAATTTTTATTAAAAGGTGTTCCCTAGAAATGGCTTGGAAGAGCTTATTGAAAAAGCGTGCAACAGACTTCTGAGAAAAGCACCTACAATTTTTTCCATTCCAACTACAACCAGAGGTGCTTGATTGTCAAAACACTTTTCTCTCTCCTCCAAAAACAATCTAAAACATGCTTGTACAAGCTCGATATTTTCTACCAAACATTGGCGGAAGCAGTTTTGGTTCTCTTGAAAACACTTTTACCTGTTTTAAAAGCACTTCCAAACAATAATGAACCAAAGGGTTCGGGTTGCTTTATGAATTTGTGTGCATACATTTATGTAATTCACGAGAAACCATATTATTCTGAATGCTATCAATAACTGAAATATACAATTTTCCGAAAGAGATCTCAAGACATTGTATGTATGTATCGATGAAACTCTCTCGCTCTCTCAGCTTTACGCACAAAAAGCATAAGCGGAAAGCTCAAATTGTTAGTAGTGCAAAAAGTATGAACAAAAACGATGAGTTGTTGGGTTGTATCTGCAAGCTGAAAAAATTGGCAGAAATGTAGCTAGAGATAATGGATTCCTCGTCTATGGAGGAGTCTGGTTTTTGTGCTTGACAGCCAAGGCTGCTGCTCTGTACCACGACGCTGCTGCCATCGCACCTGGGTCTGGAACTGAAGCGAGTATATCTCCGGAGATATAACTTGAACGACCAGCCTGAACAAAACACCACAGCAGAATCAGATCCCCAAAAATACAAAAATGGCCGAGGAGGATGTGACGTTATTCTAATTAGGATTCTCAAGGGGGCAAAAAGAAGATAGAAACGAATTAGTCGGACACCTGTGCTTCCATGTTCTTAGTCGACTCAGCTCCATCTAATGCCGCTTCAGATGAGAGTAAAAAAGCAGTCACAGGATCATCACCAGCTTTTAACCTCTGTTTTCAAAACAGATATACTGTAAGCATGAAATTTATGAGCCCACTATAACAAAGGAGAAAAAGAAACTCATAATTATCTGACCTCCTGAAGAACCGTAGATGCTGGAATAAGGGCATCTAACATTGTCCGATAACCAGCACTAGCCCCACCATATTTACTGACTGCAGCAATGGAAGCTTCAAGCGCTTCAGCCCAATTTTTTGACGTGACAACTGATTGGGTGCTTGATTTCAACTGAGCGTAGGCTGCCTTACAAAATATAACATACCTGTTTCGAGAATACAGATGTAAAATATCATGTCTGGGTAAATGCAGCAAAAAATTTCTTCAAAAATTCTGTCAAACTTTATTGAAGAAAAGGGGAAGTTGAATACAGGATCCCACTTGTGCCCCCCATTACTCTTCTGATAGACGATCCAATTTCGTTCACTGTTTCAGTTGCATCATTCAGAGGATAACTGCAAGACGGTAATATATATAAGACCACTAATAAAAACTTGGTCGGGAAACATAAGAAAGAAGACTGAATATCAAACGTACTTTTTCATGTCTTCCAAAACTGTTGTTGCACCTCTATACATCTGCAATAGGAAACATAAGATTTAACACGTTAAATGATATGTGCAGGAAATGACAAGATTTAGGAGAGGTACCAGATTTAGCACGCATCATATCATCAAAATAGGGATCAAGGCTAGGACTTACTGTTGACCCACAGTCACCATCACCTACTTTGCCATCCCATTCGTTCAAATTGTCCTTAAGTTTTTTAATTGCATTTGCAGCTGCTTCAATGGCTACCTCAAGAATCTGGCCTTGTTCATTAAGCTGTTCCGGCCGACCTAATGGCTATTGAAATCATACAAAGTCAAACAATACCATTACATGCCAGCCTAACTGTACAAACAAAGGTTTGAACATACCTCATCAGAATTCATTGAACGAGATGGAGGTAAGGGAACAGGAATCTTTGCTGGTGGGTGATTGCCTGCAAGGGATAACCACTGAGGTCAACAAAATATTTAGTTTTTGACAAGCATATGTGTTATAAAATAAGTGTAGTATGTATTAAATGTATTTTAATACAGAAGAAGTATGACGTATTCATGACACCAATGTCATTAGACTTTCATTAAAGCAATTTCTATTCACGAAGAAATACAAAGACAAGAAGATACATTCAAACACCATAAACAAATACCATCAACACCAACAGGCCAATATGGCGCCTTTGTTGCTGCATCCAGACGTTGCAAAATAGTTTGATCAGCCTTCATGACAGAAATCGAAAAACCTGAAGAAACAAAATGTTAAGAATGTGTACATTATTAATATAACTAACACTCTTGTCATGTGGCAGAGGACAAACCTGCCATATCAAGAGAAGTCATAAATGACCCAGTATACACTCTATCCACTGCCAATCCATGTTCCAGCTGCAACTTAGGTACTGCTTTACCAGATGCAATCATCAGCTCCATTCCAGGAGTTGCACCTAACCTGCCATAATGGAAAATAAACACAAGATTATAAATATTTTCTCTTGCACATGATATAAGTCCCCATAATTGAAATTTTCATCTAAAATATAAAGTAAAAGCTCCAACGTACCCATTGACCATAAGCACCACTCTACAACCCCGAGTAATTGGAACATAATTAGTTTCCTGCAAAGATTAGAAATTAAATATTTTAGAAATTTGGAGCTTGATTCAATAGGTTGTAGGGAAAAAACACTAAATATAACGTAGTTAAAATGTAGGTCATCATATGCATTGGGAAAAAGCTACGTTCATAATAAGAAAGTATAAGGCTATACTGGAGACAATATCTGCTTAAGAACGTGAGAAACTATAACATCCACCGGTTGAAGATCAGCTACAGCAGCACCAGGTTCTCCATGCTGTAAAAGTAATCAAGTTTTAGTCAGTTTGTCAAAGTATTTAAGAAGTAAATACAAGTACCAAGCCATATGGTAAGCAAACCAGAAATAGAGTTGATGTTTTAACGTGATTAGAAAACTATAGCTTAACCTCTTGATTTATAATCAAGGTCGCTTACTGAAAGTAACTTACAATTCCAAGACCAAGTTCCATCTTTCCTGGACCCAAACGGTCTGGTGTGACCTGACCAGGCAATGTGCAAACAGATAGTGCAACGCCCATTGTTCCAACCAATTCAGATGCTCGTCTTGCTTCTGCGGCAACATCAGCTAGTGAAAGGCCAGCAGCAGCAGCAGCTCCAGCAATCTATTTCACACAGGCATCACAGATTTCAATTAACCATTAAGCCAAAATAATGAAATACTGATATTATTAACAGTTGATACCATGGACCAGGTTCTAATTGGGATGTGAAGACATGGGTGAAAAGGCTTCCAACCCTTCATACACAAAACACCCTATTTCTAACATCCTTCACAATAAGCTTGCATGCATTCACGGAATGAAAAATATCTAACACAAAGACAACGTTTAACTGGCTGCATACAATGGTTAAAGAAAACTTTCCAAATGGATAGTGTTGAGACAAAAACGAAGAGAGAGGAAGAGAACCTTATGAACAAGAATGGTCCCGGCCAAACCCCTTCGACCAGCTATTCCTCGAGGCGGGGGTAATGCACAATCATCTCCAACAATTACAGTCTACACCATAAAACGGCAGTCCCATTGTTTTCATTTAAACTAACAATGCATTAGAGGGTTTGAACTGAAAATATAAATGGAAATATGCAAATTAATGCATACCTCTACTTTGTAACCTTCTGATTTTGCTTGCTCTGCAGCTACACCAAAATTTAAACGGTCCCCAGTATAATTCTGTCAACAACCAGATAGCAACATCTATATATCAGGGCTAATATATATTTATGAATAGAAAAGAAAAGAAAAGGCCAAATTCCGAAACCACTGCTTTCCATCATATATTTATGAGGCTGGGAAGCAATTCCAGAATTTAATATGAATTAAGGTGCAATTTTTCTTTTTTTTTTTATTATTATATTTTGTTTGTACTTTTTACCAGCAATGGTCTTTCAGAATGCTCCAAAACTTATGCCACAGCTATCATTTAGCATCCCGACCATACGGAGAATAACCCAACAAAGAAACTTCAAGACAAAGTAGAAATTATACCTTGACAATCAGAAGACAACCTGAAGGACCAGTAACAGCTCGGATACCCTAAAGTACAATTATATTAGATCAGAGTCTCCTCATGTAACAATTGTACATAAATCAATAGGGTTTGGTCCCCTTCCAATTAAAGCTATAAATTGCAGGAGACCATACTGCTAGAATTGAATCAACTTGTGGTGAGGCAAAAACATCCCCACAAATAGCTGCAGTTAGCATTCCATCCCCCACAAATCCAGCGTGTGCAGGCTCATGCCCACTTCCACCTCCTGTATCATCAAGGTATTTAAATTAGAAAGCCTCTCTCTGTTACATAGTTTACAGTTCCGTTTCATTCTAACTCCAAAGTCTATAATTGGCATCCACTCAGTCGATGGATTCTAATGATAACTAGAATCTACTTCAACTATCATCAAAGCACCTATTGGTTAGACTATTTGATAAGTAATACACTTCCGATATCTACTTCGGCAATGTACTTTTTTTATCTGGTTTTCCCTAGGCAGGTTTGACACTCTGTAGTTAAAGAACTATTGATTGGACTACTTAACAAGTTAACTCTTTATCGATTGCTCTACACTGTCTCATTCTCTTAGCAATTGGATGGAAGAAGCCCCGCATTCAATCACACAAACAACTACCAGGTGAATCTCCGCCTATAAACTC